CACATCACAAAATCACATCATTTATAAGGAGAACGCTGTGTCTCGCCTCTGCTTGATTCTAGAAGTACTTTCAAGAAATTCGTCTTGCATTGTCCAGCTGAAGTTTGCCACCTGTAAAGCCTGAAAATCAGTCATTTGGTGACTTTGCTGCTTTAATACTTGAAAATATCACTAAACTACTGTGTATAGTTCCTCCTCTTCCTCCTCCTTGTCTTATTAAGGTTTCACTGGGTGGTAAAATCCTTGCAAAATCAATAAAACATGGTGTTGACAACTGCCAACAATCAATTACATAACAGAAGCAGGAGACTTATCAATAGAAGAGGCATGGAAACTGAGATTCAAAGACTAAAGTAGTGCATTAAGAAACAGAGTGTTCTGAGCTGAAGAAATGAAAAAGCCATTCATGAATTATTATGTGAGTAAATGGTTTGAAACATTCAGAAACATTCTCATAATTTATTGATTAATATATATACATTTTTGTCTAATTTCACTGTAGGACTTTTATTTTGAAGAAAATGTATTTTCTCTTTCTGTGCTTTTGCTGTACCACATCTGGCCCCATGACACCACACTGTACCGTATCCTTGGAGCTCCTTACCATCAATCCGGTGTTGTGTGGAAGCTAGTGCATCCTACGCACATCTGGTTCCTTGAGCCAAGAAAGCCCTTTGTCAGAACCCAGCGTTGTGTGAACGGCGAGCGTGTCATGCAGAATCACGGTGCCACATCTGGCCCCTTTTCTCTAAATAATCTTTCCTGAGTATATCCAGAGTGGCCTGCAGTGCGCTTTCAGCCAGGTCATCTGTGGTGTCACAGGTGCAGGCATCCCTGGTAAGATTTCACCTGTGCATTCGCTTTTACCGCAGCACAGGTCATCAATGAGCTCTCAAGGCTGTGGCGATCCGTAAATGGCAGAAGAGCCTCTATTATCAGCGCCGCTGCCAAAGGACTGAAAAGCAAACTCTGATGAGAGGTGTAGCTGCCATCAAATACAATTCATTAACGCTGCACTGCATTTGCCAGTACCCATGAGTGAGTTAAGGACCATTCATTATCTGTCTGTAATCATTTGATGTTTCTGAAACATCCAGGCTGCTTCAGTTTATTCTCCGACCCTGCTTTATGCAATGATAAAAATAAATTTTATGTGGCGTGATTGCTCATTTTAAAAAACTGGAGGTGATACTTAATTCACGACTGGATATTGCCTTTGGATACCATATCTCTTTAAAAGCATCATTAAGCATTATGTAAGCATAGAAGAGAGCTCTTTTTAGACTGCTTATATGTAGTGCTTTGGCTACAGGTATCATTTATTGCTCCTTCTGTGGTTCATCCTTTTTCTCATCTCAGCTGCGGAAGTCCTTAGCTTTCTGTTAAGATGGGAATCATCCTTTTACCAAAGGAGTGTGTTTATCTGATTTTTTTCAAAGCTGCTGCACTTGGCAACGAGCTCACTGCCAAGTGCGGATGTTTCTCTTAGAATCCCCATCTGCATTTTGAAGCACCATTCAAACTCTACACATATTTCTGGAATCCATTTGAACTCCAACATAGGCCAGATCCCAGCGCTTAGCACACAACAGAACCAGTGTCACAATGCTGACTGGTGTCAAGAGCAAATAAGATAATGTTTTATTATGGTTCCCAGCCAAAAAGTTAAAAAAGGAGCCTGTAAGCCTTTGTGTACAACTTTGAAGCCTTTGTGGGGAGTGAAGGGGTAACAAGAAATAGCAAGAACTCACTCAGTGTTTTTATGCTTTGTGCACTTCCTTCTGTTTGGAGTTGCAGAAATGTTACATAAAAGTGAAGGAGAGGATAACATATGTAGGCCACAGCTTATACATTATATTCAAGCTGAAGCAAATGGCTGTGAGAATGTGTGAGAGAGCAGCAGAGAATTATGTATATATGCTCACTTCCATGATTTGCTGCAAGAAACGTGTGAGTTTGAGTTAATGCGTGTGTGTGTGCACAGCAGGCTTTGGCATTTGTGTAGGAGGTAACGTTCCTGTTCTTGTGTGCTCTTGCATTCAACAGTAGCACAGCTAAGGAAAGCCATAGACTGTATGTAAAAGATGGGGGTAGTCACTGTGACATTATGGTAAAATGGTTAACTCTACATTGTGAAACTACCATCAGGGTGTTTTTAAGACAAAAGTTGTTAATGTTGGATTAGAATGGAGATTGCTAAATGGAAGTAAATTCTAACTGCAACTGTCCACACAGATGTGCTATCTGCCGGTCAGTAACAGATATAAAATACGATTTCAGTCACCAAAAATGAAGCATAAACTTTCCCTACAGCCTGAAGAAGGTGCAAAGCCGCATGTGTTGATGTATTTTTAATGCGACCAGCCCCCTGAAATAAAGCCTCTTTATTACTTTAGCTTAAAGACCTCATAGAACCTTATTAGCACTTAGCACACTCAGACTCCAGGCTCACCTGTGGTTCCTGGATTCAGCAGATGCAAGACTAGATGTAAAACTTTGCTTTTTGATAAAGCATTCGGGCTGGGAGTCACGCTGCAGTAGGGCTAGGCTGCTGGAGGCTTCCCATGATGCACTAAGCACTTCTTCACTTCAAATATTTTCACTTCCTCTGTGTTTACACACCACTACTGTATTTAATCATTAGCCATATTAAATGCTGGCTCTCTATCAATAGTTTGCCTTCCATCCTGCCTCTCTCTCGCTGCCTGACTCTGGTTCTGCTGAAGGTTTCTTTCTGTTAAAAACTGTGGGTTTGGGGGGTTTATTTGAACAATGCAGGGTCTTTACCTTACAATATAAAAGATCTCGAGGCAACTGGGGCTATATAAATAACATTTAATTTAATTGTACTGAAAATTGATTTAAATTGAATTGAATTACTTGTTCAAACCATGGACCTTGGTTTATGTCACTTTTAGGTGTGAATCTTTCCATTTTCACTTTTCTTATTATACACTCTTACGGACTCTGGTGGCACTTTTTCATGGCACAGACCTCTTTGATAGGTTGCATCTCACAGCAGCTCATATTATTTTTTAAGATTTCCATTTAAATGCTCCAAAAAGCCAACAACTACCACAAATATGGTGAAAAGGTGGAAGGTGACCCTGGGTAGGTAGCTAGCATCTGCCAATAAATACCAACTTTTTAAGCTTTTTAAACTCCAGAAAGTTCAATTATAAATTAATAACAAATTTAAAACAGTCGCTTTGGTACAAATGATGTTATTAAGGGGACGCTGTAAAGACCAAAGTTGTTTCTGTACCTGTGGTAAACTTCGTGTTTTCATGGCTGAGTCTATGAGGGCTAAAACCAGCCTTAAGTGTTAAGTGAGGCATGTCTGTTATTTCAGATTAATAACATTATAACCTCTAGAATATGGGTTTATAAGAACTGTTAAGGGCACATACTGAACTTTACTGTTCAATTACAACCTGTTTTATTACACTTTGGTGCACTGCTACAACAGAAATGTATAGCGGACAAAGCTCGGAATCTTTATAAATGATATTTTTGGAAATGAGAGCTGCTCTTTTTGGCTTCATGGGAGCGTAATTCACAGTGATGAATATTTTCACCATGAAGACAGTGAGATACAGTGGCCACAGACGTCAGGATTAGCATGCATGGCAGGTGAATACGTACTGTAGAGGCCTCCACGTTCAGGCTGCCAGCAGCCAGAACAGTTTCAGGCTCTGGCGCTGTCCGTGGTACCAGCGTGGCTGTGGGCTTAGCATTTGGCGCTGTCCATGGTACCAACGTGCCACTGTGGTGTCCGGCGGGCTGGCGGTATTTGTGGTGCTGAGGCTCCATTGCCTCGCTGTCCAAGGAGCTGTTCCAAACATGGTGGAGCTGTCCGTGGTGCTGAAAACTGAAAAGTCCTTCCAGAGAGATTGCAAGAATATTTAGCCATGTAATGACTAAACAATGACACCTAAGTTTAAGTTAAACACATCCCGATCAATGTGCCGAATGATGGTTAAAAGCTATCTTTATGAAAAGATAAAAACCAGTGTTGTATTATAGCATGCAACACTAAAAAGCTGCAGGTCGTAGTGTGCTTTATAGGCTGTCCCTCGGTCAATGTAATGACACTGGGTTAATTTATATCCAGTATTACACAACATCGCCCCACTTTTAAAAATAATTGTATTAATGGGAGTACACCAGTGTGGCAAGGAAAAAAACTGCAGAACCTTAACACAGCATTTCAGTAAATGTTCTCCCAGTGCTGTGAGCCTCGGGTCAGTCTGAGATGCCCCAACAGAGTACTGACGATTTTGGGAGGAGGCGCTGTTACTGTGGTTAAGATGGTTCGATGAGCTGATAACGTCACCATGCTCAATAAAATCCATTTACTTCAAACTGAAGCTTGTGCTCTTCCAGAGACGCTCAGTGACGTTTTGAGAAGATAAAAAAAAGGCTGTGCATGCACTGAGACCTCTAACTAATAATGACTGTATGATGTGTATGGAAAATCCGCACCACAGAGAAGCACATAAACAGCAGCACAAGCAGAAAAATATCGGACCCCCCCCACCCAACCTCCTCCTCACACCCCCACATCATCACTTTGTTAGTATCGCCCCTGTGTGTCGACATATTGCTGAAATGGGACAAACTCATCTTGATGCCACTGCAAAATAGTTCAAATCCCACATTCGCTCCAGAACAAATATTGACCGTTCGCGGGACGATCTCACGTTTTCACACGTGATTGATTGGTAAAAATCAAAGCGGGGTATGTGAAATCGATACACTGTAAGCTGTAACTCACGCCGATTTAACGACGCAAAGCGATTGCTTTGGCGTAACAGCAAAAGACGAGACCTCAAGTGGCTTATTGCTGACGTAATATCGATTATGTGGATGTTTCACTTTAGACAAAAACACTTGGAGTCGCACAGTGCGCACTTTTTTCCCTCTCCGTCTGCCTCTACCCCCTCCACTCTCCATCCTTCGGTTCCTTCTGTAAGCATGCTGTGATCTTCATCCACTCTGTGCCCAAACCGAGAGCTTGAAGGACCCCCCCCCCCAAATCTCTCTTTCTCTTTTATGACCAACCCTCTTTCATCCAGGCAGGCGTTTGTTCGCTGGATTTTATAAGAGCCTGTTTAATTACATATATATATATTTTAAACACAGTCTATGAGCTACAGTGTCGGGGCTGCTGAGACTGAAGAGAATCGAGGAAACCTACCACAGGTGAAAGGAGCTTTTACGACGCTGCGGTACAGATGATTGAACACTTTAGCAGTAACTCAGCGCAATCTCCCCGCTTACTCTGACTGAAACGGGGCGGAAATTGAGGCTAAAACACTTTGGAACAACTAAAAAGGGACCAAGTTCTGTTTCCGAGCGAATCTAAAACCCGCTGCGTTGTTTCCCCAACTGGGCTTTCAGTGGAAGATGTGACCTTTTCTGTTGCGCCCCGTGGAGCAAATCACTGCTTTTTTTCCTTTTGTTATTGGTTCTCTTTTGTTTTGTTTTTTTGTTTTGTTTTTTCCACCCCCTAATCAGTTACTCGAGCTCGACATGCCTTTTTGTGGGATTACACGCGGAGATATGATCACTGTGAGAGACCGAGCTGGATTGTGAATTTACTGTCAGCGCTTTTTTTTTCCTTCTTTATTTTTTCTTTATTTCTTCTTCCTTTTTTAAAACTTGTCTCCATAACGAAGGAAGTGCTCTAGCTGTTTTCTTCAATGGCTTCAGTGTCAAGGTTGGCAAGACGCAAAGATGCCAGTCGCTGGCCGAGAATGTCGTCAAGTTTCTGGGCTGTGCTGCTCCTGACAGCGCTGCTGCTTCTCTATTGCGGTAAGTCCCGCCGCTTTCCTCCCCTCTCTCTGTCTGTCACACGCTCTCTATTTTGACCACACACACACCCACAGTGGGTGACCGTGTCATGTGGGAAGGCTTTGACAACAAAATTATGTGAATGGTTTTGGCAATCGCTCTTAGCGTATTGATCTCAGTAGTTGTCGACGTGTCATATTCTTCTTCTTCTTTTTCCCCCCTATTGAAAAACACGCACGGGGATCACAGTTGCGCGTGCACACGCTCACTTTAAAGCCCCTTCCTGCTCCTCTGTATGCAGACAGGCACAATCAAGAGAAGCCCCTCACCACCACACACACAGATCCTCTCTTATAAAAAAAACAGGGGAATGTGTCTCATTGTCTTGTGAAACTACTTTCTTTGGCTTGGAATAGGAGTGCGCCACAGGCCTAATTAAGTCTCATGTGACTCCCGTTAATTCTTATTCTATCTGTCTCTCCAACACACACACGCACCCATCTATTTCTTAAAGCTTCTCAGACTGACTGAGTGAGGTCAGGCTGTCATGCATTTGTCATCTCTGAAACACAGAATCCAGAACATATACATAACAAATCCACATAATGTTAAAAGGTACAAATCTGCCTTTTTATTATTATTATTATTATTTAAAATTTATGAATAAACCCTTTTTAGTTGGACAAATAATACTCCAGGCAGTAATTCAAGAGTGCCCGAGGATAACCTTATTAGGCAAATGTATGCAAGTACAAGCACACACACACACACACACACACACACAATTTGCTCCTCTCTCTCTCTCTTTTGGGCTACTTCTCTGGCCACGGGTGTCTTTTCATTTCTTGTTCCCTGGCACCCTCACACCTTCTCTCCGTCTTGCTTTCCTTCTCTCGCTCAAACCGCCTCTGACTCACTTATGAGGAGAAATCCAGCTGGCACACAGAGCTTCAGTCTGCTATGTGTGAAAAAAAGGAGGCTATGTGCAATAGCCATGATAAGCTCGTGGAAAAAAAGAGGAAAGGGAAAAGTTATTTCATTAGCAGCTGAGCTAATGGTTAATATAATCACCCTGTCCTCCAGTGCATTAGCTATGCTGGTGCTGTAACAGATTCGTACTGTGATGCTGAGTTTTCCTTACAGCGATGTGAACCGACCTCAGCTCGTTCATTTCCTTTCTACCTTTTTTTCCTTCTCTACAAAGGACACAAGATTGAGTTTGCTTTGTAATCACACAGACCTCGGGTTAATCAATGACAGGCTTAATTTATAAGAGCCAAAGCTTCTGGAGTTGGGGGCTTTTTATTCTTTTATGGTGCCTTCGGCCATGTGCCATTGATCTTCCGCTTGTGTCCAATCACGATGCTTGGATGTTTGTTTCAGTCAGCAGTCTTGCTTTTTCCTTTTGCAAGGACCTCGATCTTTTTACCCAGTAACACCTCGAGCCTTCAGAGACTTAATAATCTGAGTGATAATCATTCCTGGATTTCCTCTTTTATGACCTCCTACTCCAAGCTGCTCAAACTGTGTTATTTGGTACCTTTTGTCCAACAGTCCGCCTTATGGGTATATTTCATTTTTGTTACCACCATTATTGGTCTATTAAACTCTAGTGCCGGGGCCGACTTTGTGTAATTTCCTCCCTTCTCGCTCCTCATTTAATTTTTTTTGGTTGTTAATTTCCAAACATTTGAACTTGCAGCTCTGTAGATCGCACAACTCCCTTTCGCTGTTAGCTTTGCCTTTCTTCTTGTGGGTTTCCTTTTACTCTGACCTTCCTCGACAGTGCAGTATTTCTGTCTTATACTTTTTGTATTTTTTCTTACTTTGTTCATGTGTCCTCCGATGTCCCGGTCACACTGGGTTTGTTTGAGTTTTTTTTGGCCATCTTTGTCGCTGTTTTGTGCTTAACTTTCTTCTGCTTGAAATTTTTTATGTTGTTTTCCCCCCACTCTTTGTAGCACTTGTTCTTTTATTCATTTCCTCTTTTTAACCAGATCTTTCAAACCATATCATGGTTTGGATCTCTGAGCTGAGCTGACCAATGCATGTCCTCTATGCTATTCTGTCTGAAGTCTCTGCTTTCTCAGCAGACTCTTCTCTTCTCTTCTCTTCTCTTCTCTTCTCTTCTCTTCTCTTCTCTTCTCTTCTCTTCTCTTCTCTTCTGATTGTTGTTTATTTTACAACCCAAGCATTCATTATCATATTGACTGCATCTCAAGACAATAATGATATTTGTGAGAGTGATCAATTCATTCTCACTATAAGATCAATATACATTAATGTAAATTAACGTATATTGACATGGTGACATGTTTTTAGAAGCTGGAGCCCGTAAACCTTTGACAATTTTGCGTGAAAAATGACCGTTTTCAAGCAATTTGCTGATTAATATTCTACTATTGATTGATTGTCTAATTATTTTTTT